CCCTCCAAGTTGACAAATGTCGACTAACAATGGAGGGGAATTGTGGGGAGGTGGAGCATGTTTTCTATAGCGAGCTCGGTGACCCAAAATGTTCGACGGTTAGACATTAGAATGGGAACATGAAATATGGACGCATTAGATGGCTATCTATTCGTGCATATCAAACACTAACAGAAAATTTGAATCGGATTTCAGTACATCAAAAATCGTACATATGTAGTTCTGAAGATGAAGCCTTCTTTCCATTTTAATACTTACATTTAGCAGGAATTTAATTTAATTCAAAAGTGTTCGGTATCTAAGCGTTCAAAACAAAGAGTTCTTTATAACACGTGTTCCTGAGCTTGAATTGAGGACATGACTTCCAGCTCGTTTCTTTAAGTGCAAGCACTCGTGTGTCTATTTTGCATTTGTTGTGCGGCTTGCGACTGAGCTGCAGCGGTTGCCTAATTGTTCAATTGCATTAGGGGCAATTATGCGGCTGACATACATGTGTGTATCTGAGCCCAAGTACGACCACATGCGCTTGTCATTAGTGTAATTGCACAGATACAGATACAGCTACAGATACAGATACAGATAAGCAGACGCAGACACAACGGCGACCCAACGGACAATTGTTGTCCAAATTCGACGGTGGCTTAACTTGCACATTACGTGGCCAATATCCTTATCAAGGGGTCGAAAGAGCTTTGACCACCTCTCCTGATTGCAGGAGTTACTTTGATAGAGGTATGCCATTAAGGAAATGACAGTTCCAAGCTTTTAGAACAATATGATCAACATTTAGTCCGCATCATTAAGGCTTTTATGTATTCCAAATGAAAAACATCTGCTCTGATGAAGTTGGGCTGTCTGGAATTCTGAAAATATGAAGCGCATATTGTGGCAAAGTGTTATAAAATCCAAGCATTCAGCGCTCGCAATTTTTCCTAAACGTATACACAGCATTAATGCCTAAGCTCATTTGCGATTTGGCCAGGCCGCAATGTTGTTGCCACCAGCTGGTTGGTTCAATAAACGCCAATGGAAGGCCAACAAGGTCAAAACTGATGAAGGCGATCGTTTAGTGCACGTGGAAAAATAGATAATATTGAATGATGTATATCAGCCGAAAAATATCTAAATAAGAAGTTGTTTCAGTTAATAAAACGTATCTACCTTCTGATAATATTCATGCAGATAGTTTAAAACATATGAAACTACTTAATACGAGAAAAGCTCTTATCTGGTGTGAGCCACATCTCAGTTTAGCACATAAGCAAGATTGTTTCAAGATTCGGTCATTTAAATACTTTACCAACTACAAAAAACATTTAATCTTATTGTGGAATGACATTGAAAATGTGTGTTAGAATGTGATTAAAAAGCAAGTAATGAAATGTAAGATGATATATAATGTATAATATTTTCTCGCTGTATACCAAATAGATTCATATGTCCATGGTAGCAGATAAAGCATTTGACCGCTTTGAATTTTCGAGATTGAGTTCGATTTCATTGCGGGTTTCGATTTCTTTTATAAACTTCATCGCGTTGAAAGTTCAGCTCGAGGCAGAGTAGCGCTCATTGTGGCTTTGATTTTCCTCCGAAAATAAAGAAATTTGTCTACAAACGCGTATGCGAATGAAGCATGATATAAGCAAATGTCATGCAAATGAGTCATAGTCAAACCGTTTCAATGGATACAAATTTCGGATAGTGGAGTGAGTGAATGAGGTCTGCTAGCCATAATGACGCTATGATACGCATGGGAAGTTTGTAAATAGAGAGTAATGATTGACTCTTTCGAGTGAGATACTTCCGTGAATGCTCCTCTCAACAGTTACACAAACAGTCTATAAAGCAGCGGTAAATCCGAAATCCAAATCAGAAACAAAAGAAGTCCCAAATACAAACTACATACTTATATTTAGAAATGTGGCACTAATGCCACAGTTATCGTTTGAGCGTGCGACGCCTCGCATTCGCCATCACACTTCGCTGATTTTGGAGCGGCACAAGCCGCGCTCGCAATTCATTATTGATAGCATCTCCATCTTCATCGCCATCCTCAGCGAGCTTCGCAGAAATGGCAAGAACGCAGCTTTACCAAACCTCTATCTGCTTCTCAAGTAATCCCAGCTAACTGTTGGCATTCTTTGGAATTCTATTTGCAGCCGGGAGTCTGCGTGCGTAGTCCGTCATTTGGGTTAAGATAGATGGGGCTGTGGATTATGTTGGTAATTCAAGCTAAACAGGGCTAATTCCACGAAGCTCATTATTTTGAATAGTCTGATCTTCAACTCGTTGCCTTTCCTTACTCACCTACATTTTAAAACTTTTCTGTTTTGGGGAAATCTTTGGTCTTTTGTATTTGAATTTTGTCCATCTTTATTTTCCCTAAATGCTGCTCATCTCTTCCTAATTGTCAATAATCGCCTTTCGATCATATAATCGTTCCCAGTTTAAGCATAATTTCGACTAAGCACACTTTGACCGAAGCTAGCTTGGGAAAATTCCCAATAATCTCTTCTCTAACGATCCGATCCCCGGTAGTTTGATCGCTCCAAGCTTCTGCCCATCAATCACCAGTGCAGATCAAGCCATGACTACCCACTTGGCTGTCATTATCACAGGCCACAATAACAACTACAACCGAGATCATTAAGATACCAGGCGATCGCCAGCCATTCTCCACATCCAGCATGATCGCAATGCAAGTGAAATCATAATTGCAAATCGAAATCGAAGCGGCTTTATTGGCCCGCAAAAACTGGTTTAGCATTCTCTTGCGATCATCCTCGATCCGATCGTTATCGGTGGATTTTCAGTAGTTGGACTCGGAGTCGGAGTCGGATGGCGGGCGATCCCAAGTCGGCGAATTCTGAGCCATTCGTTCATCCTCAGTGCGTGCTGCTGAAGCGGAAATAAGTCTACTCCGACTTCGACTCCCCAGCGAGCTCGTTTCTCTAATGCTGATTTCTGTTTACATCTCGTACATGCACCAGCTCCCCAGTTCCCTGTGCCGTCAGTTCACTGTCAATGCCACGATGCACTTGCTTCCCCCGGTCGAATCACGTTTCCAATAGAGACCCAGAGCCAGCGCCCGCGGGTACTTTGGTTTCATTTAGGTTAAGTGGAGGGTTCAGGTTGCGGACACTGCCTTCCTGGCACTCTCTTGCCCCCGGCTGTGGTTCACTGTATCAATGGGTTGTTCTATCTTTGGTCGGTTCTCGTCAATTAATACATCCGACCTGCTAAATATCGAGAGTATTCATTTCTAGCTTGGTCGTAGTTGGTGGCGCCATTGTGCATATTGTGTCTAGTTTTGGTACTAATAATGAGAAAAAATTACTGCATACTCTCGGGCGTTAAGCGGAAATACTTTCGGTGCTAAAAGTTATTGATATATTGATTTGAATTCTGATTATATTTCTAATATTTCTAATTCTAATTATATTTAAATATATAAAAGAAACTATAGTCCCATTGAGTTGAAATGGCTTATTTCTTTTGTTCTTAATGAAAGACGAAGTTTTTGATTTTCTCACACTGGTAAATGATATGCTTTTAAACAAAACCCCAATAGCCAGTTCCTCTTTCTCGCCATCGAACACTCATAGTTTTAAGAACATAATGTTAATACCCTTGCAATACTTTTAGAGTCTATAAATCAGTACTCCATTGGTTATTTTATGCCCTTTTACAACCCACCGCTGGCCTCCAGTGACAACAACATCACGGATAATTGTTTACCTTTGCCGCTGCTGTTTTATCAGCACCCGAGTTGACATTCAAAAATAAAAATAAAATTACAAAATACCTCGATGTGATTTTGTCCCTGTCTGGCTCAAGCAAATCTTATCTGCGGGCACACAGGTGCATAAATATAGATATATGTATTAAGCGGCATTAGTCAGCGGTCGCATGGCAAGAAGCCAGCTGAATGGATGTGCCACTATTGTGTGAAATTTCCAGCACTTTTGCAAGAAAGTAACACCATTTAAGTTATTAAAACTCTGATTCAGAAGGGGCAAACAGAAGGGGTGGCGCCACGCCTGAGTATCGCACCACCATGGGGGTAACGTCATTAATGACGACCAACCACCGAAGTGGGGCTTTTAGGGCTAATTGCTGACATGGGGGTAGGCTTGTGTGCCCCAGGTGACTGGGACAGCGTGGCAGGGGCTTTTCCACCTCGGGGTGGTTGCATGCACTATTGACATGACATCGCTCGGATCGGCAGATAACAACCCGGCGATAACCATGGCAAATGAAGTCGGTAAACTCGCGCCCTCCACCGATATTCCCATATAGTTATTATTGGGTGGCTCTGTTTGCAGTTCGACTCGAATACTTCAACTCCCAGAGCAACTTTTGGATGGGTTCGTCGTGGAGGCCGTGGTTGAATGAACCCTATGCACTTCGTTCCATGACATCGATTTGGCTTATATGAATGGCTAGCAACTCCAAGTTGGAGCCATAGCTGTGGGTGGCGATGGACATGGTAAACACTTTGATGTGAACTATTTTTGGCCACGCGGTGCGATGAACCTTTCTGGCTTCCCTGACATTATTTATCAGGGGAAGTGCTGAACTGCACTTGAGCAGCCTAGTCAAATTTGGGTATCATATACCTATATTTCGAAGTAATAGTTTTAACTTAGCATATAAGTTCTGGTATAGCAATTAGCTATTATTTACATTTTGAGTAGTATTTATTACGAATAGATGAGCTATTTTTATTTCACCCAAAACGACTCACTTGGCCTTGAACTTGTGGGCACAAGCCATTGTATTTCGGGGAATGCGGAACGTGTCATTGATCACAGTAATTGTAGTTATGGAGAGCTCCACTTATAGAAAGGGAAATTCCTACTTACTTTCCAAGGAATACTTAAGCGTACTGCCATTCAAAAGTGGCAGACCAATTATGGGCAACTTGTACCTGTAGAAAACAAAATGCATTTAACATGAAATTCGTATAGCTAATTAGTATGCATTCCTTTCTACTGCAGGCGTATTTTCTAGTGGAAATGGAAGCAAGGAGCTGAAATATGTAAGAATAGGAACAAATTGTTGAAAATTGCTAAAAATAAAAATGAGAAAACAAGCGAAAACAGAAACCCAATAACTCAAGCTCAAAGGTGCTCATAAAAACAAGCGATTTTGGGGCCCAGTCGAACGTGGAATTGACTTGACCCACAGAGGTGCACGAGCAGAAAGAGATAGACACACCGCTGTAGAACGAGAGGCAGCGACAAACGATGCGTGTGGCTGGGTGGCTCAGAGGTGGCTTAATGCTCGCCCTGGCCGTAATAGTAACGCAGGCACGTTTCATTGCGAAAAGAGAAACCACCGGCTTGGAGCAGGCGATGGCTTCCACTTCCATTGACCCTGACATGGTTAAGGCGCCCAGGGAAAGTGGGAGCGGCAGGGAACCGGTTGAAATAAATGCAGAATCAGATATGTTCAGCTCACAAACCAATATTGAAGATGAAAAAAACGCAGAAACGGTGGATCCAACCGAAACCCAAACTGCTAGTCTGAAAGAGAATCCCAGTGTTAAGGAAACGACGGTAGCCTTCGAGCAAAATGAGTCCAGCACCACCACCGAAAAAATGATAAGTGAAGAGCAACTCAAGCTGAAGGAGTCGGAAACCACGGAAACCCAGTTAAAGGCAGCTCAAGTGGATACGGCAACCACGTCTCAGTTGGACCAAACCAATCTGAAAGTTAAGGAATCTACAGAAGCTCCGTTAAAAGAAGAACCTCTTTTGAAAGAGATTTTAAACACAACCACTGAACATATTTGGTTAACCGAGAAAGTCCACCAAAAAGATGTAACAAACCCACCTTTAAGAGAGGCACAAGCTGAGAAGAAGGATAAGATCGCAGAATCTGTGGCATCCCATAATTCCACCCTCCCTTTAAAACCGGTCTCAGTCTCTTTTGAGGTGCCGAACACGACAGAGCGAGTGGTCAACACCACAACCACTCGTTCTTCCGATCATGGTCGATCCATGCAGTATTCATCCACTACTGAAGGGTTGAGCCGATCCCCTGCTGCAGTTACACCCATGAAATTGAGGCCCCTACCCATGACTTCCACACCGGCCAGCACCACTTCCACATCGACCCCTGCGCCAACCACGCCAGTTTCCTTCGCTTCCCATGAGAATGTCATCGAGGAGTCCACCTCAAAGTCAGAGGTGCGGCAATTGCCTGAGAAGCGAGCCAAGTTTATAAGTGAAAACTCCACAAATGCCCAGCAACTTACACTACCCAACACAGCTGAGGTTTGGAGTCTGGCTGGAATGAAGGCGGTACCAAAGGCACCACTAACTACCACAACGATCGTGCCACTCCTCAAGCACACTGATCTTGCAAATGATATAGACATGCATCTCAATAAAACGGAGCTGCACAAGGAGAAGAATCTCCTGGATTGGATGAACATTGCCATGTTGCCATTAACGCCCGAGAATCGCACCGAATTTGTGGTCAGAACCACTCTGGACGCCACCGAAGGAGCTACACAGGCTACTACTGAAGCTTTGGCAGAGGAAAGCCACCTCAAAAACGATCTTACAGTAGGCTTGGAACAGGATAGCGTCACAACAGCAAGGACAATGGCTTCAACACCTGATCCTGGGTCTATGGACCTGAATACGACGACTACAACGGTGCGTACGCAGCAATTGGAAGTTCCCATGGTCAAAAAGATGGCCGACGTAGCCAATGCCAAGTTGACAGAGGCGATTACAGAGGCTCAAAGGGAAACAGATGTGGGAACAGAGGCTGCAACATCGGTTACATTACCCGAGCAACTTGCAACATCTGCCGTAACAGCGAGGGTTGATTCACCAAGAACGGAACTGTTAAATATTACAGCAGCAGCAGCAGAGTCAGGTGAAATCTCTATGGCAAATTCAACAGATACGTTATCAGCAATGACAAGCACAACTACTACCACAGAAAGGCCAATATCTGTGGAACAAGTAACCGCTGAGCAAGACTTGGAAGTAGCAACATCACAGGCCCCTACAACAGCCGCAACATCAAGTGGAACCACGGAGGCAGCAGCAACATCATCGACAACTGCTGCAACTCTGGTTGTCTCAGAGGCAGCAACAGCAGCAGAAGCTTCAGCAACAACTGAGGCTACAACAGCTGCAACATCGAGTGTGGCAGCCACCCCTAGCACTACCGAAGTGGCCATGAAAGCGACTGAAATCAGCAACATCAGCGACGACCACGACGACGGCGATAACAGTAACGACGTCATCGTTGCCACAACCAAATTTCCAGAGAGCGAGCAGGCAGCAACAACGACAACGGCAAGAGTGGAGCCAACACCGCCATCGGTTAGTGTGCGAGTGGCTGGCGAGGTGAGCACTTCGATTCGGCCAGAAATCATCGTTACCAGTACGCGGAACAGTACGATCGCGGGTACAAGTACATCGGCGACAAGTGTAGCAACACCCACGCAAACGGAAATTGCGCAAATTAGCAATGAAGTGAATTTGGAGGCAGTGACAGTGAAGACGCGCGACGGCTTTAGCAACACGAATGAGTTAAGAACAGCTGAGAAAACCGATAACGCGGTCAATAACAGTGTGGCCATAACAGAGAGCGAGTTGGGTGCATTGGCAACAGCAGTGGAAACCACCACAACGACAGCCACCAGCCTGCTTAGTGACGTGAGCAAGCTGAGCGAGGAGCACGAGTCCTCGCTGGAGACCAACAACATAGGCGAGGCGTCTCCTGAATCGACGACGCCACCAGCAGCAGCAGAAGCAGAAGCACCAGCCACTGTTGCTGTTGCAACGGATGAGAGCACAGCTGCGGCGGCAACAGGTGGCCAGGAAATCGAGAGGGAGGGTCAACATCATGAGGGACAACAGGTGGTTGATGAGCAGGACACAGAGCAGCAGTTAGCCAAGACAACGATGCCGGTGACGACGACAACAACCAGTGCTGCAACCACTACAACCAGTACCACAACAACCACAACGGAAACGCCCTCAACCACAACAACAATGCAGCCGGTGGAGATAAGTCTGCTGGACGACAGCACCACCAGCACCACAACACCAGCACCAGCACCACCCACGCGGGTATACTTCGAGTCCTCCACGGTGGCCAGCACCACCAGCAGCAGCACCACCATGCTGCCGGAGACGACAACCGCGTCCACCCAGTCGCCAAGTCAATTGCCACCCACATTCATGGCCCCCTATCCCAACGAACTGGACCACATGCAGACCAATGCCCAGGGCAATGGGACGGACGTGAATGTAATCATAGCCATCACGGTCAGCGTGATTGGTGTGGTGGCCCTCGTCCTGCTGGTGGCATTCCTCTACTTGATGCGCAAGCGCCAGAAGCAGACGTCCTATGGCCAAAGATGTCGTCCTGTGAGCTTGGATGCCTACTCCCTGGACAACGTTTCGGTGCTGGGCAGTGTGAGGCGGAAGGGTCGCGACGTGAGGGCCTCCAAGCGGACCTATGGCAACGCCGCCTTCGATGATCCCTCGCTGCGGCACAATCTCCTGACCGCCAGCGAGCTGGCCTGCTTCGCCGAGCGTCGCTCCGACGTCTTCGAGGAGTTCCGGGACGTGCCACAGATCATTGCCAGGGCGGACGAAGTGCCACCTGGTTGCGAAGACAAGAACCGGTGAGTAGAGTTATAAAAATAATTGCTGGGAAAGTGAACCGAAATAATGTGAAAAAATAGATTGTTTTTATAGCATAATGGGCTTGCAAAATACTCATATCATTTAAGGGCTGGGTCACACTTGTGTAATCTGGATGATTTGATAACCCGTTTGTGATATGATTAGATTACGCCTAGTTCAATGTTGCTTGCGATGAAAAAACTTTATGTAAACTTAATTTATTCAGAAATGTTTAGTTTAAAAATCAGTTAAGATCATCAGTTCGTCTTGTTATTTTTTCCCAACCGGTACTCACTGTAATTAAGGGTTCACTTTCTCGGCACGAGTTCACATCGAATTGTCGAATCAATTACGATACTGATCTCTGGAACATCTCTTCCTGCTTTTTTCCACCCGAACCAATAACAACGCCGCTCCGACGATGGTGATTCAACGGCCCGACCTCGAACTGGAACTGCGAACCGCAGCTACGCCAACGTGATTCCGCTTCCTGAGACGCGGGTGGTGCTCCAGCGGCAAGGCGACGATGACAAAACGGAATACATTAATGCCAATTATGTGCGGGTAAGTAACCGAGGCAGAGTCTCCCAAGTGGGCGGCGGATCAGCTCATCCAAAGCTAGACAAACAATCGACTAGGCACTTTCTCACACACATGTGTATTGGTTGGTTGGTTGATGTGTGGAGGCAGTTGCTCGTGTTGCCGTGTTGAGGCATCTTGGAGCAAACATTACAAAAATACATATGTGGCGAGCCTTGCATGACGCCCTACCCTAACTGGAATCTTCGGGCCCCTCGAGGGCCATTAAACATGGCGCCCGAATAATTACACGCCCGATGAGACTCACCTGCTAGCTGCTCCTCTGCTGGCCGTGACTGTGAATGGGGCTCATCGTCTTTGTTGCCCAGATCCGTGCAAGCAAAATGGGCCTCTGCGAAATCCAGCAAGTAATAGCTGCGCCAAGGGAAAGTGCCAGCCAAGATCAACGAAGTGTGAATGCCCTTACATCATGCTACGCCCCCATGCTGTGAGCTCCAGAAATCACTTAGAAAACAAACAGCTACTTTGCATACACGAGCTTTGATTTGATATTTCAAAGTCTTCTAAGTGTTATCCAATTCTAGACAATTTTCTTATCTAATAGCCATAACAGAAATAGTTTAACCATTTTGTTGTAGGCACACAATTCTCATAGCTTGAAGCGAATTAATAGCTTAGCTTCTTAGAGCTTGTTATGGTACTTTAGATTATTAAAATAATTTAATAGTGGTGTGTGGAGCAGGACTCCATTCCATCCATTGGATGTTTCAGTTGTTTACCAAAACGCACTTTAAACAACTGCATTCAAGCGTGACGTGGACGATGCATTGCAGCGAATGCATTGAAGCGAATCTTTTCGAGCGCTCATCGGCATTGCACCTGGCGATAACCTGAGCATGTCGAGATTTAAGCAGCAGAGGTCTGTCGTGCGATTTAATGGTCGTTTATCTGAGAGGCGCGCGTAGCTCATCGCCACTCATTGTGTGGGCAGTGGGATAGTTAAGCCGCGATAGGTTTTAATTGATGGTTATGTCATTGCTCACACTGTCGGCTTTGCGCCGAAAAACGCTAGTTACACTAGTTTACCATCAAATGGAACGCAACACAATTGGATAGAAAACATCTTGATACATTTTTCGATCACTTCAGGGTCCCCGAGATGCCCCCAACTACTACATAGCCTGCCAGGCGCCCCTGGAGAGCACGACCAGCGATTTCTGGCGCATGATCTGGGAGCAGCAGTCGCGAGTGATCATCCAGGCGACGGATCTCAGTGAGAATGGCATTGAGAGGTGCGCCGAGTACCTGCCACCGTCGGCGACTCTGGACAACCACAGCAGCTATGGCGATTACCAGGTGACCCTCAAGCACCGCGAGGTTAAGGATCGGTATGCCATTTCCACCTTGGTTCTGAAGCGCGTGGATGGCGAGGAAAGCCGTGAGCTCACCCACTACTGGTACAAATGGCCGGAGGCGGGTGTTCCGGCCGAGGAGGCGCCCATCATCGCCATGCTGTTGGAGGCGCGTTCCTCGCTGAAATCCTACTGCCTGGAGCAGGCCAACGAGCTGCGGGAGAAGTCCGCGACCCTGGAGACGTCAATGGATGCGGACGGCAGCAAAGCCGAGGCGGGCAGCACGTCCAGCCACGAGATAAATGGCAACATTTCAAGTCGGAGCGCAACTCGAAGTCAGCAGGGGTAAGTTGACACATTCCATATCTATATTTCAATCAAAGCAGTTTTGTGTTGCATGGCTTTTTAATGTTCTGTGTCTTTCCTTCTCCGTCTCTCCCCCTGTAGACCGCTAACCGTTCACTGTTCTCCAGGCACGGGACGAACCGGTACGATTATAGCGTCGGACATGGCTATCCGCAGTCTGGAAACCCCGAAGCGGTCCGTGGACATCCCCCAACTGGTTTACTACGTGCGACGGGGACGTGCCAGCGCCGTGCAGACCAAGGAGCAGTATGAATTTATCTACAAGGTGGCCAGCATGTATGCGGCCAAGATCACAAATCTGTCCAACGACAACTGATGGCCGACCAATCGAGTGGAAACCAAATTTACGATTGAATTCGCTTTGAATTCGGTCCCAGCACTGATCCATGGGACCCCCTGTAATAATAGTAGCTATGTTTTATACAAAATATTAGTGTAAATTAGTATTATGCTTGAATGTTGGCACCTATTTAAGCGTCGTTGTATGTCGGGCTTTAAATATCATTTAAAATGTATGTATTCCTTTATTATTGTGATATAATCGTACATTCGTATATCTCCTGATAATCTGTTGCATATTTATAATATCAATTTTTGTTTTTGCACTGTCCCGAGTTCCGGGGCCATATAATCCGGAACAATTGATAATTATTTGGAGCTCTCCTTATTTTAAGAAAGTCAAATATGTAATCAACAATGTGTGTATCTATTTTAAATGAGCTTTAATGTACGTAAGTTATTTTTAAGTCTACACCAAGCTGAACTGTACTCATACTATTGTAAATTACAAGAAGAAAAATATGTTCAGCAGTGGTTTCTGAAGTTTTAAATTTCGCGGGCTTTTGGACGCCGTTTTAGTGAGACTTTATCTGCGGGGCGTTTAAATTAATAACACTATACGGCAACTGAACTTCTGCTCTTATTCTTATTTACTTGAAATTGCTTATGGTCCTTTGTTTTTTAAAAGTTTAAAGAACAGTTTGTTTTAAAATCTAAATTTTGTTGGAAACTATTAAATATTATATTAATTTGGTTTCATGGGTGCAGTGGGAACAACTTAAATTATTGTAGCTCTTTGGTCACACTGAACCCCGAGTGTTTTTTGATACTGGCTTACAATAAGATGAAGTTAACTTTTATTTTGTTTATCTGCGCTTTCGTGGCCGCCACAGCTGCCAGCGATCCAAAGGTGAAGATCGGCATTAAGAAGCGGGTGGAGAACTGCACCCGGAAAGCCAAGGGCGGCGATCTCGTCCACGTGCACTACAGAGTAAGGGAAATCAGATAAGGAAGATCTCTAGCCGACCTAACCCCGAATTTCGAAACACTCTAGGGAGCACTACAGGATGGAACCGAGTTCGACAGCAGCTATTCCCGCGGCACTCCCTTCTCCTTTACCCTGGGAGCGCGACAGGTGATCAAGGGCTGGGATCAGGGAATTCTTGGTATGTGTGAGGGTGAGCAGAGGAAGCTGACGATTCCGCCCGAACTGGGATACGGAGCAAGTGGTGCCGGTGGCGGAAAGATTCCCCCTAATGCGGTGCTCGTCTTCGATACAGAGCTGGTAAAAATCGAACCGCGCTCTGGATCTGAAGAGCTGTAAACAAACAAGGCCATCAATAGGCATTCCATGCTACACCCAAAGTTTACTTTCAACTGAAGTCATAAACATTTAATGCTCAAATAATTAAAGTACTTTTTACCATTTTACCTTAAACAGCAATACCTAATGTATTGAATTTTCAATAATTAATTTGTTATATTTTGTTTTTGAAACGGTGCCACGCTACGACCAATAAATAATAATGTCATTCCTTTTATACTAGACCAAATTGTATTTATTGCAAGAGCCCCTTACTTTTGGCGCCTCAGCCACGCCTCCACCTCGTCGAAGTGACGCCGCATCAACCGATGCTTCTCCAGTGTGCTGCTCTGGATGAAGCGCTCGCCGCAGGTGCCGCACACAAAGGGACATTCTCCGGTGTGCTGCTGGAGATGGAGCTTGAGGTCCTTGGCCTGCCGGTAACTCTTCTCGCAGTATGTGCATTTGTGCGGCTTTAGACCGCTGTGCGTGAGCATATGGCGCTTAAGTTTATCTGAGCGGGCAAAGTCCTTGCCGCAAACGGTGCAGTGAAATGGCTTCTCGCCGGTGTGCATCCGGCGGTGCGAGGCCAGCTCTGAGTGCCTTGGAAAGGCCATCTCGCAATTATCGCACTTGAAGGGCTTCTCGCCAGTGTGACGTCGCATATGAGTGACAAGAGCGGCGGCTGATCTCGTCTCCATTCCGCACAGGGAGCAGAGGAAGCGTTTGATAGCCTCCTTGCGCTTGCGGTCGCCGTTAATGTGCACATCGCGGATATGGTTGTTTAGGCGAGACTTCATCTGGTATGTGCGATCGCAGTGCGGACACTGTAGCAGCGGCACTCCGTCCTCAGTGGCATCCTTTTCCACGTCACCGGCCACTGACGGGCGTCTGACGCCCGCCGCAATGCTGACGGAAGACTTGCTATGTTGCAGAAGAATATGCTGCTCTAGGTTCTCTGGCCACATGAACTTGTAGGAGCAGTTGCCGCATGGATGCTTCTTTTCTGTACTACTACACTGGCCTTGCCGGTGGTGGTCCATAATGCTCTGAAGCAATAATAAAATTGACAAAATGTTCAATGTAGAATACACATTTAAAACCTCACCTTGGAGACACATTTAAAGATGCAGTCGTCGCATTCGTGTGGCATTTTGTCGAAGCGATGCATTGTCCGCTGATGCTGGATCATTTCGAACTTCCGATTGCACTGCACGCTGCACAGCTCGCAGATATAAACGGGTCGACTGCCACCACTGGGCTGCATCTCGTCCTCGGTTTCCGAATCCTCCAGCTGCAGCTCAAAGCCAGACTCGTTTGTTATCGAGTAATTGTGCGGGGAGTCGTAGCTCTGGTGTAGCGACAGGGATAGCTTAAGCTCCAACTGGATATGGGCTCGCAGATCAACAATGCGCTCGAAATGCAGATTGCACATGCGGCAAGTAATACGCTTTGCACCGTTTGGCCGTGAGGTGGCAGCAATCAATGTTTCTGCCAAGGGAATGTCCTGCTCTTTCAAACCGTGGCGCTTTAGATGTTTTACCAAGTAGTCGTGCCGATAGAATTTGCGACTGCACCACTGGCAGGGAATCAGCTTTGATTCCTCTGCATGTACGCTAAGCAGGTGAACGGTGAGGGATTTCTTTTTGTCAAAGACCCGATTGCACTCGGAACATTCAAAGGTTTGATTCTGTAAAATGCATAAATGTAATGTTTCTGCTTTTTTATCAATTCTAAGAGTGACTTACTGTTATCCTGTGTTCGCGAAAGTGTGTTTTCAGGTTGTGTTTCCAGCGGAAGCGGAGCGGGCATTTGTGGCAGAGAAATCGCTTTTGTGCATTCCTACACTGCGACTCGTTATGGTGCCGCAGCAGCTGCATACTCACAAAACGTCCATCACATCGCCCGCAGACATGAGGGGCGTCTGACCAACTGTGGCTCTGTCGCTGGTGGTCATAAAGCTGATATTTTCGCGGGAACTTTTGCTGGCACAGTTCGCAGCTATATGTGGCTTTTCGCATCTTCTTTCGCCTCTTTTGCTGGTCATCGGGATCTCCGTCCAGATCGCTGTCCGTCTCCGAGCTGTCCAGATCCATTTCGTAGCCACTTTGGTTCGTTATCGAATAGAAGCGCTGATAGATACCCGCCGCCAGGTCCTTGCGAATCAAGTTGATTAACCGCTCCTCACTGAGGTCCTTGGAATCTGGATAAAAAAGCTCTGCCAGCTCGTGGGGTTCCATATTTGGACGACCGCAAAGGGTGACAATATCGGGGTGCTCCTCTAAATGTCGTCGCAGATCAGCAATCTTGTTGTATTGGCTTTGGCAGATCATGCACTCAATAAGCTTGTAGCCATGCGGTTTGCAGAGATTCAAATCCACGGCCTTGGCCTTCTTGTGCTCGCTAATGTTCGCCGATCGTTTTGAATTCCGGTGAACTTTCAGGTGCGCTTCGAGGGCTTCGCTGCGGCTAAACTTGCGAATGCAAAGGGAGCAGGCGTACAAGCGGGTTTCTGGCTTATGGATGCGCATTTCATGGCGTTTCAAAAAGTCGAATCGTTTGAAACTCCTAGGGCAGTCCTGACACTTATATACAGACTTTCTTCCTGTTTTCCACTTTTGAATGCGATTATACAGCGGCAAATTATCCAGGGAGCTGCAAAGTTTGGTAGTTAGAATAAAGCACTTAGAACATTTTACTTGTTACCCACTCTTCGTCTTCAAAGTCCGATACCGGATCGTCTTCCGCTGGCTTCTCGACGCTCCTTGGCTCCATTTCCAGCTTCACCGTTTCACCCACCGTCAGAGGGTCCACGGATTTTTTGCTCTCCATCTCCATTTCGTCCGGTTCCGGTAACTCGGAGCAAGTGATGGTGACATCGTTTTCGCCACAGTCCTCATCCTCGGTCTCCAGCTTGACTTCCACATGCTGCTCAGCACACAGCTCCATCGGCGCCTCCTGCAGGCAGTCGGTTGACGATGGTGCACCTCCGTTCTTTAGATGCTTCATTAGAAGTTCGTTGGCGGCCAGCGCCTGCTTCACATAGCAATAGGCACCCATTAATTTCTTGGTGCATCCGCTGCACAAGCATTGCGGAAGTCTCTGACTGCCGGTTGCATCCAGCTGCAAAGAAAATGTTTGATTTTAGTTTGAATTTTTCGTTGATTTTACCACTTTTTCGAACTTTGTTTACATTGATTTCGGTTAGCTCGCACAATATCTCCGAAAGCAACTTGTCCGGATACTTTTTCGAGGGCGTGGCCAGCTTCAGAAGGTTATCGGTGTCCGTGGAGTCGCACGTGCGACAAATCACCGGCAGCTTCATGGCGAACAAATTTGTTTTGACCAATTGAAAGCTTTTTTTAATTTTAAATCAACAATCAGAAAATCAACATTATTGATGGTAGGACCTTGACGCGAGAGATGGAAAATACTGTTGGTCTTTATAAAAATACCAAGCTGTTAAAAAATACAGCTATTAAGTGGTTGCGTTCAGCAGAGATTACTATTTATTTTTAAGGCAAATATTAATGTGTTTATTATTAAATGAAGCTGCAGAAAATGTTGAATTCTGAAAATATAAATAAAGATCATCATTTACTTAATAATATAATAATATTACAGGACCATAGGTAACTTTGAATTTTTGAAAATCACGACTTAAGATTTGCTGCTGACTGCGACCAATTGTTGAATGTGAAATCAATAGTTTACTTTTATTACATTAAATCTACAATAGAACGGCGTACTTTATTCTTTAATCTAAATTGGAGCTTAAAATAATTTGTGGCGTATGCACGGGTGGCATACGCAAAATCCGGCAAACCAAAACAGAGCCTCGACCCGATCCGACCCAATCCTCTAGTACTTTTTGATCGTTTTCCGGATGAGGGCCAGGCGCTGTTTGTGCGCCTCCGTGACGGCAGCGCGCTTGTAGGGACGCAGTTCGTCCGTACCGAAGCCGGGTATCCACATGTTGTACTTCCGCTCAAAGTGCAGCTGTACGTCGCGTACCTCAATCTTGTTGGACTTTCGGTGCTTGGCGAAGGCACTCGTGGACTTGACGGTGTCCTCGACAAAGTCGTCGATGATCTGGAGCAGAAGCTCCTCAACATCCTCGTCCAGTTGCGTGGTGGTATCCACCTCGCGGACGAGTTCTGTGAGACGCGGCTTGGTTAGCATCTGAAATTGGGAAAAAAGGTTAAACTAGAACCAGGCCTATTCCGTGTGCACTCCATAAAGCACGGATCTTACGGGAGTGTTCTCGGAGCCGGCGGCGGATGATGTGTGATTGGATGACTTGCTACCACCAGATGGGGTGCCCGTGCCCGTAACCGTACCCAAACCGGAAACCGGACCGCCGTTCTGCGAGGATGAGTTGCTGTTGTTGGTCATCGGACTGTGCTGGGAGGGCGAGGCCATGGGTGGGTCTTGGAGCTGTCCGCTGGCGGACGATGTGGAGTTGTGGTTGTGGTGCAGGTGGTGCTCGGCGACGCCGTTGCTATCGAAAGTGGTAAAGAGATCCGACATTGCTTTTGGGTTTCTTCAAAGTCAAATCAAGTGGGTGGGTTGTTGGTTGGTTGGAAGTGGGACAGGTGGTGGGTGGGGAAAGTACAGTAAGGTGGGTTTTTGTGGGTTAAAAGTGCAGAACCAAAGCCAAAAGCGTTATTGTACTTGTTGTTTTTGTTGTGTGTCGTCCGGCTATCTCAACTTCAGTCGGTTTTGTGTGTGTGTGGGTGTTTGGTTGCAAGCGAAATGAAAGTAAAAGAATAGTGGTGTCAATTTCACGCGTGTGGTCTTAAAAATCCGTCGCTTAGTGTGTTTAGTAAAATTAAAGTGTTACTTAGCAATTGCTCTTAGCTCAGGCCACACTTACAATTATTACGGTATAAACACTGTGATCTTATATTATGTTTTCTAAATTACTAAACAAAATAAAAATAAGCAGAGCAACTACAGCCAGATCAACAGTAGGACCAGTTGCGGGCGACTCTGAAATCCCCGCCAGTAATCAAAAGCATTTTGGTATATTAACGTTGAAGTGTAGTATATTTTCGTAGGCCAGTCACACTGGCGTGGAGTTCAAAACAAAACAAAGACGGCGTATTTTGCAAATATCACGTAGATAAGCAAAACATTCAACTTATTGATTTGGAACAATAACTGCGCAAAAGCAACATGTCAGCGACCGAAGAAACAACAGCGGACAGTCAGATGACCGAGAATGTGGAGGATGTGGAATTCGTAGACATGGCGTTCACAAAGGAGTTGCGTAAAGCCACTAAAGATGTGCATAATCTTACTGATGTTCTAGTAAATGCAAAGTTCGCACTTGGTGGGTTGATTGCTCATTACTATTACCATTCCCAGGAGCTATTAGATATTCCTCTTTTTCCGCAGCCCTTTCGGATGACGAGGTGTGGTATGATGGACTCCTGGCCTTCTACGAACTATACAAATTCTTCGAGACCCATCTTCCGGAGCGCCTGCTGCCCAAAGAATTCTATAGAACAGCGGCATTCGAAAGGGATTTCGACTATTTCTACGGTTCCGATTGGAGAAAAGACTACGAAATTCGTCCGGCGGTGCAGAAATATCTCGAACACCTGGAGAAGATTGCCGCCCAAAACGAACTGTTGCTGTTTGCCTACTCCTATCAGATGTACATGGCTTTGATGTCCGGCGGACAAATGCTGCAGAAGAAGCGTATGATCGCTCGCAAGCTATGGATCTTTTCAAAGTCCGACGACGAGGAGCAGCAAAAGCAGGCGGACAAGGAGGCCGAGTTGGCCACCGCCAGAGCTGCCGATGGATCTTTAAACAAAGACGACTTGGAAGCCAGACCAATGCCTGCCCAGGTTACCATTTGTCCGCCTGGATGTGAGGCCACATATTTTCCAGAAAAGGTGCATAGCTTTTGACTTTGTCCCTTCGAAAGTATTACATTGTTATCGCCTTATAATATTGTCCGACCATCCACTTTCAGATCTCTGTCTTGAAGGCCAAACTAAGGCGCGTATTCAACAATCACTACGGAGCTTTTGACGATGACTTGCGAGCTGCTTTTATTGAGGAGAGTCGTAACGTATTTCGCTTAAATATAGAAGTAGTACGGACCATAAAAGGGGTAAATCGTGCCAATCTCAGGAAGCTGGCCCTCGCACTAATCTTTGTTTCTAGTATTGTAGTGGCCGTAAAATTTGCTCTCAAGTAAGAGAAATAGGGAATACAAATGTAAGCTCTCTTGGGCAAGTTAGAATTGTGATCACACATTTATTTAGTCGCTTGTTAAATAGTAAATAACCCGAAATTGAACTGATTCTTAAAAGTTGTAAAGAGTATTTATTCGGAATTTTCTGTGCCGATATAATCAAGCAGTCCTCGTCTATTTAACCAAGGCATAATGCGCTCTATATTGGCCCTATAACGTTCGTTGCTAAAAGTCGCTGCCCTTAGCGATTCGGCATTCTTATCATCTCCCAAAAAGCTATCAGTAGTAAAGTCATCAGTTGTCTTGTTAAGGCACATCGACAAGGTGGTAAGCACAGTTTCAACAGCTTGAAGAAAAACATAAAATAGAATAGAATTTAAAAACCTAAAGTTCTTTTGTAAATTACCAAAAATTGGGTGCTGCATCAAAATGACGTGTAGTTCCTTTAGAGACGGAATAAATCCGTTGAAGTTCAGCAGCTTAGCATGCTCCTCCAAGTTTTCATGATACCATCGGATGAGGTAGTCAAACTGATCGACTTTGACATCCAGTTGAGTGGAGCTCATTATGAAGTAATAGAGATCCTGGGCCGGATTTCCGTACTTCGTGACTTGGTGATCCAGCAGGAGGGTTTCCTTGACGCGACCATCAAAGTCGTATTGGAACATGATGTTGTTTATCCAGGCATCACCATGATTGAGCACATTGAACTCTTCCTCATCTATTTTGGCATCTTCAATTACTCTGTCTACATGGGTATTCAAGATCTCTGGCTGCAAATTGTGATTTTGGTAAAAAAGTCACAAAGAAATAAGAAAAATACTTTACTATTTTGTGCAGGTACTCATCCACGCCCTCAAACTTGGCCACTTCTTCCATGAAGGACATCTTTGTGTGAGCAAATAAACGCTTAAATACAGGTGCAGTTTGCTCCGTGAAAATTCCATTGTTGTATTTGGGCGGATAGGGCCCATTGAGCTCCTTATACTTCAAAGAGGCTGCATGCCACTGGGCCAACTTCTTCAGCGTGCATTTGGTATGCTCCAAGTCCATTCCAATCAAGCGATCGCCCATCTTAAAGCCACTCGGCTGCAGGTTCTCCAGAATCAGATACTCCTCGCTGACATCCTTGCTGAGTCGAAAGGACTTGGCACTAAATGAGACTGGCAGACCAACATCCTTATAGAGACGCTCGAAAGAGGGCACATATGTGCTGTAAACCTCGATCTCTTTTGGAAACAGGTTAAAATCGGACAAGTTGATAGCGTCATTAACTGTGTGCACTTTCAGGATGTACGAGAAGGTCTTAACGCTTTTGTCTGTTAAGGTAATGATTGGATTTAATATGCAATTTTTCAGATGTAAGATATATTACCTTTTAGTTGCGCATCGATATCGACCTTCAGCAGCTTGGAAGCAAAGTTGTCCCCAGGTTTCGTCGCCGACTTCGAAGTACCGCTTAAAATCTTGTCGAAATTTGGTTCCGTGGATAAAATGATGTCCTTGAAATCGCTAAAATTGAGCCATTCCAGGATCTGATCCGCATTCTCCGCCTGTGGCTGATGTGGTGTCTGATGTGCCTGCAGTTCAATTGGAAGTGAGTCAGTGCTATAGAGGAAGTATAAGATGTATTTATCCTTTTGTGAAAATCTCATTTAGCAAATATTCACCTGGCTTCCAAGAAGCCTCTATTATCTAGCCAAGGCAGTATCCGTTCGATGTATCCTTGATAACGTTTGTTGGTGTGCAAAGCATTCCTGAAATCGACCGCAGCTTCAGAGTCTGACATAAAATTATCAAATGTGGCCGACTGAGTGGGGTCCAAAAGAACCACTGGCAACACTGAGATGGTTGGGAATAGCACCCAACCGCCGTACTTGATTATCGTACGGTGCAATTCCCTTAGCGAGGGCTTTCGGCCAGTGAATCCCAGAATGTCCAAGTGCTTAAGGAGCTGTTCATGGTAATGCCTGATGAAGAAGTCGAAGTAGTCCAGCTTATACTCAATTTGAACCGAGGTCATGATGAAGTAGAGTAGATCCATGGCGGGGGTGCCGTATTTGGGGTTCTGGAAATCGACAAAGACCATATCCTCCAAAGCCCCATTGGAGTCCATCTTAAACAGGAGATTATTCATCCAGCAATCGCCATGGTTCAGCGCATTGAACTCGGTGGGATCAATGACACCAAGCTTCATGAGCTCCATGGTGAGGCCATCTAGGGCTTTTTCCTAATCAAATTGGATAGAATACTAATAATCAGATAAGACTATTGTTATTTACATACATATAACTTACAAGCTTCGCCCGATAGTCTTCTCCGTTCTTGAACTTATTCAGATTGGCCAAAAACGACGTCCTAAAGGATCCCAACATTCCATCCATAAATGCAATGATGGCTTCCTTGTTATTGCCCATCATGCCGTAAACGAATATATCGGGATAGGGTCCATGTACCTGGACCATCGTCGCTCCTGCTGCATGGAACTGAGCTAGTCTGGTCAATGCGAACTTGGTTTGCTCCAAGTTGAGGCACTCCAGACGATTTAAGTTCTTGAAACCATTCTGACCGAGATCGTGCATCAGCACCGTGTTAGCCAGCTTGGGCTCCTTGGTGTCGTCCAGTTTGAATGCTCTTGGAGCAAATTTGATGTCCAGACCCTTGGCCTTGTAGAGTGCCTCCATTTTCGGTAGTATCTCAGTATAGGCCGCGTTCTCGCTGGTGAAGAAGTTGGCGAAGTTCATCATCTGCTCCATTTGCGGAGTATCATGGGGCACTTTCATCATGAGGGAGACCAGCTTGGTGCTCTTGTCTAATAGAGAATCATGTAGTTGTTAAAATTCCAGAGATTATTGCATTAAGCGCTATTGAGTCGGTCAGTAAGCTGAATATCAGCATTGTCATTGTGAAAAGCAAATCAATTTTCAAACATTTATTATCGACTGGCCATAATGATAAGAGTACAGGTACTACAAGTGATTACTTATCGTCGACCTACGCGAAGAAACCCACCCAATTTATTTCTGGCTTCACGAAATTGCCCCAAATTAATGCTATAAATAGTAGTGAGCGGTTAACTCACCAGTCAGCTCCACATCTATGCTGATTCTCAGCATAAGTGTGGCATAGTTTTCTCCGGGTGCCATGGCGGGCTTCACCCGGAAGCCCACTATCTTAGAGAAATGATCCACGGTGGCGGTGAGTAATTCCTCAAATTGCGATTCATTCAGCCACTTGGGCACCAAATTGCTGTGGTCAACCTCTGGTTCGGACTTTGCGGGTGGAGCTGGGGGTTCAGAGTTCACCTGCGCCTGTGGTGCTGGGTCCGAAGTTTTCACTTCATGGCTTTGGTTTTCCTTGGAATTTCGCAAGCCCATCTTACAGTTCTAGGGGCTTAAGTATTTTCAAATAGTAGTCTGTCCTATCGATTCGCTTCCGGTTCACTAGGCGATCGACGCTGAACTGGTATGCGGCACACGACTGGGTCCCCAAGTTATGCATTCCTAATCACTGGTTTGCTTGATAGCGTCGATAGCAAATTGGCATTAAACAAAGCAATAACCTTTGTTATTTCATCAGTTTTTGGATCTTTACGCGTTTTTTTTATAACTAAACGCTTAGAGCGATACCAGTGAACTTAAGTCTATCAATGTGATAAGAATGACTAGGTTGATAGGCTTAACCAGCAACTGGTCTTTTTATCAGTTTCTGTGTTCTTGATTAGAAGAATTGCTGGTTACCATCAGTTTGACATGCATATTTCTGTTTTTCTAAGCATATAGGAAAT